CCTAAAATCTGGAAGCCAAAGCTAAGGAATTTACTTTAAGTCACAGAATGTATAGTTATTAAATGACCTACAAACATTTTGTTTCATGAGTGAATGTTTAATCTAGCACAATACTGTTCCAAAGGAAACTGTTAATAGTAACATTTTGTAGCAGTTGTGTGCATGTCCCCACTGGACCTCTAAATGAAGTCTGTGCAAGGACTGTAAAGGTAGTAACCCTGCAGCTACGGCTATAATTATCAGGATTTAATGGTGTTTATGAATGACTTGCTATGAGTCAAAGGATAATAATACGTCTTATTAAACATTTATTCCAAGTTATTTTTATAAAACTTTACTCATTTACGTGCTACCAATGATTGTTGGTTTTTTTGTTTTTGTTTTTGTTTTTTTTAATGAAACAATAGAACAACAAAGAATAGTTAATCTTAAGAGAGAAATCCTAATACAAGGTCATTTTATGAAAACTCCGTGTAAGCAAACAAACAACATGTGATAGAGCAATTGAAAGTGTAAACCTAAAAGTGAAAAAAACCAACAAAACACAAACCAAAAAGACAAAAGTTGAAGAGTTAGCCTCTGAAAAAGAGACCTTTAGTGCCATATAAACAATGCTAAAGTCTAGTTCGGATTTCTATCCACATTTAGATACTGTCTGATTCACTAAGATAAATGACCAGAGATCTTTTTAGCAGTTAGAGCTAAACATGATCCAAGTGGCTCTACAGCCAAATTGGCACCTGTGAATGTTGGAACACGGCTATTAGATCAACCACAAACCTGAATAAGCTAATCTGGTTCAAGATGTATCAAATAATTCCCAGGAAGAAAACATTTCAAATGAAAGTAACACAGAGAATCTTTTTCTTTACAAACCTAATAGCAATAGCTAATCATCACCACATTGCAATATACTAAGAATATAAAGAAACTCTATCAATTCTAGGCTATAGGAAAAAGGAAGCGGGGAATCAAAATCCTCTTCCAAATTTTCTTCAGTTACCATTAGTGGTTTACATCCAACACAGCAAACCTAGTCTGATATTTCCATACTCCATTCACTCTAAATTCTACTATCTAGCAACGTATTTAAAACACCATATAAAATCCATGTATCTTAAGTAGTTAAGGACATTCTCTTCTAGAGAATGCCTTCACATCGTGTTATTCTACCATACATTTAAGAGAGACGGTGCTATGTGAACATCAGGACGCAGTCACAGAATCACACATTCACACGGGTTGGAAGGGACCGCTGGAGATCACTGAAGTAGGTTCCCTACAGAAGGTAGCACAGGAAGGAGTCCAAGTGGAATTTTGAATATGCCCAAAGAAGGAGACCAAAGCCTCTCTGGGCAGCTTGTTCCAGTGTTCTCTTACCTTTAAAGGAAAGTTCTTCCTCATTTTGTATGGAACTTCCTGTGTTCCAATTTTTGCTCATTGCCCCTTGTCCTGTCACTGCACACTGCTGAAAAGAGCCTGGACCCCATATGTGGAGATAAGATCATCTCTCCCCCAGCCAAAACAGACCGAGGCCTCTCTGCTTTTTCTCAGAGGATAGCCAAAAGATTCCTAGATTCTGAACATGCACACTGCTTACTCATTATCAATTTCTAAGCAAGTTAAAACTCATAGCAAAATTAAATATAGTTATTATTCAAAATACTCACAAATGTCTTTGACTTGTGTTTTACTTATGGTTATCTTCCTAAGAAGCTGTTAGTGAAACTTTGAGCACTGCAATGTGGCTAGTTAAGAGGCCTGGTGTGGTTTTGTTCTCTAATTGGACCATTCTGGCAATCAGTTCAATGCAAGTTTTGAGCAATTTTGCCTTACTTAATGTTTTGGAGTTCACAATGGAGCAGACAGACTTGAGAATCAGCATTACTATAAGAAGGAACAGTGAGGAGAAGTGAAAGTGAGAAGCAATGAACACTCAAAAATACACTAACAAATATATGAAATCCTATTTTTATTTGATGAATATGTGAGAATTTATGATTAAAACAATTCTAAGAAATATTATCTGAAAGCAAATCTGTAAAAAGAACACAAATACACTCAAATAAAAAATAGTATTTGTACAAATGAATAATAAGAAACTTTTTCCTCAGTTCACTCAGTTCTGATCCTTAGCTAACCCTCAAAGACATGTTGTTGTAAAGGTTAATTAATTAAAGTGCACAGAGATGATTATTTGAGAGCTGCTAGGTAAGTGTAAAGTACTGTTACTATAGGTTAATATTTTGCTCTCAGGGTACAGCCATGTTTGACACCAAGGCACACTACATTCTGAAACACATATTTTCAAAGATCAGGGCGTTATTCCATTTTCAACAAAATAAATGGGATGTTAAAGACCCACACAGACACAGATGTATGAAATAAAGCTATCTCCTAGCTATATTACCATGTACCTCTGTCTTCAGTTAGCCAATCTGTCTTGCTTCTCATGCAAGCATTTGCCTTATGGTTATAATGTCAATTTCATTAGGTCACCAGTTATCATTAGGTCAATTTCATTAGGTCACCAGCTAGATCACTGGGATCTAGCCTGGGAATCTTCACTGTCACTGTTCTTTATAGGACCAACCACAGGAAACAGAGAATCTGTAAAAGCAACAGAGTTCAAAAGTGGCAAGAACCCACTGGCTCTCATGGGCAACATGCAAGTTCACAGGGACTCAACATTATGCACACAGAACACCGTAAGCGCATGTTTTACTCCAGAGAGAGCATATTTGAGCCATTTCTTCCAGACGACACTTTGTCACTGCCATCATGTTCAATCAGACTCCTGTTCATAGGACTTCAACAGCTTGCTAAGAGCTGTCTCATCTCTGCACAAAAACCTTGATCCCAGCTTGACCCACTCCACGTTTATCTGACATGAGATATGACGCATGTCCAAGATGACAACTAAGAAGACTGAAAAAAGCTTACAATCACTTCTATCTCTCTGCCACGCTGTCACAGCTGCAGTTAGCAGAAACAACTATGCTATTTTTCTCATTACATAAAACAGGAGGAAGTCCAAGGCTTCATTGTTGAAGCCCACAAGACTCTAGAACATGCTCCTCATAATCCAAACTGGCCCTCATTTGGAGCCTCTTCAGAGACTCAGTGGAAGACATCTGTTTGATTAAGAGCTTTGAGAGGCAAAGGGATAAAAAACAATGGTGAGTCCCTCTGGAACTTCTTATAGTTTAATCTAAATGAATTGACCATGTAATTAAAATTTTCATGCTTTTAGAGACTTGAGCAGATGCATTTATTATTTTATATCTAACCAAAGAAGGTTTAGAGTTGGATTTGAAATCAGAATTCTGCATTTAGGAATGTTTGGACTTGCTTCAGGATAACTCCACACGACAGAAGAAAACCAAATGTGAAGTATAGCTATTGTAACAAGAATTTTCTTTTAAATACTATAACGAGAATCATAGTCAAATTTTAACTATATAGTGGAATGTGTGAATTGTGAAAGCATGGGTCCTTTCCAGTGTGGAAGGAATTTTTTTAACTGGTGCAGCACACAGAATTAAGTACACCTACTAAGATCTCATTGCTTTAAAAAAGATCTGAAATACACATCTCCTATCTTGCCTTTTTCTCAACTAAATAAAAGAATGAATGTTTTCCTACTTATGTTTATTCTTCTCTACCTCTTTACCAGTTGAGGAGAGCATAAAGAATTGCAGTACAGAGAAGCACATATAGCCCTATGCTCCTTTATTTCTTCGTAGAACAAGTAGCTTTTGCAGCAACTATTACTAAATTTTATCTGGGACCAGTAACAGCTGAAGGAAACCCTGATTAGACATTAAGCCCCTTAAGGTGCCCCTCATCTGTCTCAAAGGCTGTTGTGTGTAACGCAATAAACATAGACATGCAACACTTCTAAAAGCCAGTGTCCTACCCTGTCCTCCTCACTAACAGCCAAATAATTAAGGTTACTTTCCTCCAATCTTCACATTAAGTTTAGCCACAAATACCTGATAATGCATTTTTAATAATAAGGAGGATCGACCTGTAAATATTTCAAACTTCTTAAGAATTAATGTATGAGTGATAACACAAATTGCTAGGGCCTGATGCTGATAGCAATTATGCATGCATTTAATGTATTTTTTTGGAAGTTCATTATGAATTGTTACATTGCATATTTTCTGTTCACAATCAACGAAAACAGTAGAAATAGTAGAAAAAAATAAGTAAAAAATAAAACAAAAGAAAAATACAGTCTAATCTGATGAAAAGGTCCCTATTGCATTATTTTCTTGCAATGTAGACTATGGGTCAACTCAGAGTTAATTCTACTTTTATGAAGGTACACATCCTTAGCTCTAGAGCAAGAATAAATTAAATACTCTATTCATGAAAATGCTAGAGCAAGATTATATCTGAACAACAAAGATATTTTTAAAGCAATAAAATATTAAACAGATGCCAGTGTTTTCTTAGATACATAAATGGCCTGATATGGAAGACAGTCAGGTAATAGCTTTGAGCTGTGAATGTTTGCAACAAAACGTGAAGTCATATAAATCTCACTTGGATTGCATTGCATTACAAACTCAAAATGCAGAGCAGGCCTGCTGAAAGAGCTGCTAAAGTTCACAAATCTTTTCAGAAAGTCAGTGTTGAGTTGATGTAGGCTGATTTATAGACTTCATTTCAAATTATGAGAAAGTCCAATTTTTGAGGCTTACGGTTTAAAAAGAAAACCTAAGTTAATGTTACAGATTTTCAGCAGTTGTTCTCAGAACTGAGTGACGTTCCTAACTGAAGTCAAAATATTCTAAGTTCTTTTTAAGGAAATTTAATAAAACAAAACTAACGCATTTTGCATATTCTGGCAGAATTTCCAGAACAATTTGTATGTAGTTATTAGTTGTATCCAGTACATGTAGAAATTAAGAACTGCAGCACTAGAAGTTCCAAACTTAGATACCTATAATCTGAATTTGTAGAGATGTTGAAGAACACAATTTCTTCACCTCTATTGTAAAGATGGAGAAAGATGCAGTCAGCAGGTTCACAACTGTCTATACTGAACAAGAGGTGCAGTTCCCCCACAGAGCTTCCACATGATTCACAACCCAGGGAATTTGTTCAGGTCTGGCCTCCTCACATCATGTCTCTGTGGAGTAAGAAAAAAAAACAAAAAATATCAATGGGTTCAGATAAGTAGGAAAAAAAAACCCTAAACATTGTTTGGACTGTTCAATGACGACTCTTCATCCATACAATGCTGAAAAAAGTTTCACACAATGCTCCAATGCTTTATGTATTCACACACTTGCTTAAGGATCATGGCATAATTATTTTTTTCTTTGCATGGTCCCTAAAATAGCTTGTCCCGGAATGCTTTTTTGCCTGTTTCAAAGTAATTGGGTATCTCTCTTTTAGAAAGCTGCACTAATAATCCCCTCAGGACTTTCTCATCCCTCTAATTTGTGAATGGAGAAGTAATACAGATCTCTGAGGATACAGATTTCCGAGAAAGAAAAAGATCTGCTTGGGAACCTATGTCTCCTTATCAAGTAACATGTAGCGGAAATGATTTTAGAGGACTGTTTAATTCTGCACTTAGGTGTTTCTCATTATCAGGCTCTCTAGCTCATGGATTAGTAGCAATTTTACTGTTCCAGAGCCTTTGTCATTAACAACATACCACCTCCAGCAACCTCTGTTAGTCAATAATAATAGCTTGTTTAAAAATAGAAGCATCAACTTGTTTGCACTGTTATTATCCGTGCATGGCTTATTTCCCCATAAGGCTCAGGGATGGAGCACAACCTGCCTTTGCCTGGCCTTCCCTTCCCTACCTGCCTCTTTGTAAAATATGTTTTCAGATCAGCAGAAGAGACCGAAGCATCTTTAGCAAACACCAGTCTGGTAATGTAATTGCAATGCGGCTACAGTCCTCAATATTAAAATAGAGCAACTGGGAGGAGCTGTATATTCATTTGTCAATAAAGTGTTACCACACATTTTATTGAGGGATGTCCCTATTTTTCTTTGATGAAGATGTTGTGTAGCTTTCACCTCCACATAAATCTGAGTGATTAATTTAGCATTCACAGTTGGAATAAGGAGATTCAGGCCAAATTCCAACCCAACCGTTCAGCATCATTTCTTCGCACTTCAGACTTAGGTTCAGCTATTCAATTTTATTATGAGGTGGTTTTAAAAACAAATAGTTAAGTGAATGGTGGATTTTGTAGTGTTGTATCTTTCCTTTTTTACTAAGTCTTTACCCTGCAGCCTTACCACTAGCACATTCAGGTAAGTGCTCTTGTTTGTGAAGACGGAAGGTGATTCAAAAGACACTGCTATGCAGCATAAAGACAATCCATTACATTGGCCTTATTGTATCTCACTCTGTAGATTAACATAAATAATTATAGTAATACTGCACTGCATTGCAACAGAATATGCTTAGAGCTAATTGAATACAAAATTAATATACTTTTTATATTTCCTCATGAATTACAGTTCTTCTGTTTAGTGACAGAAACCTAGAATTAAAGCACAAGAAACAATTAATGTTATAATTATGTGTTCCTAAACTTATATTCAAAAGCATTGGCAAATTATTGTCAGAATATTTGCATACAAGCCAAACAATTAAGTTGTCAGCTGATTCTATTTCTGCCTCTTTTTTTTTTTTTCCCCAACTTGCTAATGCTTTTAATCCATGTTGTTATCAGGGCCAGTCATAACTTTCAACAGTATTGCACTTCTTAATTTAAAATAGCATCAGTGGAGAAACACTACCTAAAATATGAAGAGAAACATATTGATATTTTTAATATATTTCTCTTAATCTCTGGGTACCTGACAGTTCTAGGGAAGAACTAGCAGACATGGAAAAAGAACAGTAGTACTTACTGTCAACTGAGAGCTGCAGCAAAACCTTGATGCAGTTACGCTAGAGGTAGTTTGATCATGCTGATATGCTGTAGTTTTCCCTAGCACAGTAAACTAATAACTCCTGCTTCATTAGAAATATCATTAAAAGTTTTTTCTCTTTTTAAATGTATGAAAACATTTGACCTAAAAGGGTAAGTATGTTGATTCTTATATATAGAGTGTGAATTTCCTAGCCAAAAAAATTAGTGGTACAACTCATTTCTCAAGAAGAACCCTCTGAAAACAGTATCCTAATTTCCTGTAGACACTGAGTGTCAAATTGAGATATGTCACACATGAAAATTCAAACCCATTTCTCGTCTAGTTTACTTGTGCTCTAGCTCTGATGTTGGCAAATTTTATATTTGCAAGGGGAAAATATCACAATTTAATTTCCGAAATCTGTTGACAAACATTTTATTTTATTTTACTTCTTTTTTTTTTTTTTTTTACCTTGAATTAAGCAATCAGATCTTTGAAAAAGCTATATTTAGATTTTTTTTTTTAATTGATCCATTATTTTGCTTGCTTTCACAGCCAGAACCCCCTACTGCAAACAAGGATAAGGATGCTACCTGGACTTCGTTTGATAAATAGTTTTAATTAAAATATTCTGTACCATAAGTATTTTAATGTTACAGACAAACCAAAGGTATGCAGTAATAAATTAAATTATACATTTAAATTAATCTATAAATATGCTATAAAATTGACAGGATATTTTTAAGATAGGGAATGAGACATAGATTGCTAATTATGACAATTAAATATCATGAGTAAAACTAAATGACAATCAATATCCTAGAACCATTTTGTAAAAAGAGAAAAAGGGAGGAAATATAATATCATTTAGATGTCTATAAAAGTGAAAAATTATTAGCAAGTTAGAGTTCTGATTTTTCTATTGTAATAAAATGATAAGCAGAAGAACATTATACTTCTCATCACTGCTAGTCATAAATACTGTACATACACTGTACTGGCACAATCCATTATGGGATTCTTCTATTTGGGTCTATTTGCTCAGGATAATAACATGTTTAATTTTTACTAATAAAATTTCCATGTTTTCTGCTCAGAGTCTCATCCAGAAGTCCTACTGAAGTCAGTAGAAGCTTTTTCTCTGCATCAATGAATTTTTGAAAAGTCCTTACTTTCAAAAGATAGCAACATTTAAATGCAAGTTGAACCAGTATAGGAGTTACATACACACATGCAGGGCCCCAACCTCAGAAACTGTTTCTTCATATGAAAAAACACCAGGGCTTTTATCCTATTAGAGAGATACCTGAACTGAGCATTGCCTCCTGTGTCACCCATCTGAAAATCTTTTAATAGCTACTTCTTCACATCATAAGAATGTTAAGGCCAGCTAAAAGATGCAGAGTTGCTTTGACTGCAGTGCTGTGTTAGGGGACAGGAAATGTGTAAATTGGGCATAAGTCCATTAAATTACTATCTCAAAATTGTTATCATAATAGCGTCATGCCAAAGATGTGAATTTACAGACCAGTTTCTTCACTACTGTTTATCAAGATGGTAAAGATATTTTCTTGTCACAGATCTGGGCTAACATCCATTGTTGTATTCATATTAAAAGTCTTCTCTATGTCTTTCAATCACATATTTTCCTTCTAATTAAGGCATATTCACTTTTTTTGCTAATTAGGTATTCTTTGTTGCACAATGTTTGCTCTAATCTTTTGGAATTTCTCTCAATATCTAGTCATTGCCTTCATTACTGGCTCCCCTAGAATCCAACCAAAGCATGTTATTTTTTCTGCTAATTATATCCTCATTTACAGATTGTTGCCTTCTCTGATTGGCTCTTTAAACCAGTTGCTATGACTTCATTAGCAATGTCTTCTGACCCTGTTATTTCTTGTGACAGGATTTGCTCCACTTGTCCTGTAGCACTGTATCCCAGGGTCACTCCTCTCCCGGGTTGGAATAGTGTCAAACACAAAAGGTTTAGGGCAGAGAAAATCACTGCTGAAGTTGCTAATTACCACATGCAGCAACAGTACAAATTAATGCTTCTAGCGGTTTAGAGGGGAAAGAAAAAAAAAAAAAAAAGTGTTTTAAAGGTGTCATTAACAGGTTAGTTTCATTTATAAATGGGGTTGAAAAAAAAAACCACAAAAATACATAATGTAGTGTATTTTTGATTTTTCAATCTCTCCATCAAATAAGTGCTTCTAAATCACATGGGATTGCTTATCATGCTATATGGCAATAAAATTACTGTATAAGCCATTCTTCAGCCAGATTATTTTTATGAGACAAATTTCTAAACAGATTTTCCTACATTAACTTGAATTTCAGAATCTCAATCTATCATCTCTAACCTGTTCAACAAAAATAGTGGTCTGTCTTAAAGCACAGAGTTACATTCCCCAGTATTTTTTTCTGAAAATCTTTTAAGCGATTACAGAACAGTACTGTCAGGGAAAATTAAAGCACGTGAATGTGAAACAAAGTACCAGCGCCGTGTTTATATTAAGCAAAAGAAAGATATGAAATTACAAATTCCATGGGGTGCAAATGCATGTTGTGCTGTGTTCCCCATTCCCAGTCTCCTACAAATCTGAACAATTTATCACCAGAACCAGAGATCCACACATATAGTAGAGTTTAACACAAGTTAGTTAATATGAAAAACGCTGTATCTAGTTGTTTGCAAAATTACTTTTGTTGATTAAAAGGCTCTTCAGAACTTCCGGCTTGTGAAAGGGTTTTAAATTGTCTAATGCTGATTGTGATTGCTATGCAGAAAAAAGGCAATGCGAAGCAAACCATTATATCACTGAATCTTTGTTAAGCAGGCCTTGAAAGTGCTTGACAGCATAATTAATCTTGTGATATGAACAAAGAAACCAACTCAATAGTATTGAAGATGCTTATTAAAAATACTAAATACCTTTTTCCACTTAAAAACCTTTTGAAATACTGTGGAAAGTGCCATTACCTTTTTTGTTTTTGTAGTATTTTAGTCTAAAATTGATATGAGGAGGACACAGCATGAGGAAAAGAATAAACTGGATGACAATAAAAATTAGTTTGAAAAATAATGCTCCCTGATTTGGGGTGTCAGTTAAGCAACCTCCAAGCATTACAAAAGACCCTTGCACACACATGCATATACACTGTCTACTGCTTTTAGCTTCAGAAGTTATTTAAAATAATGACTAGTTGTCAGTCATATTACATTTTCAAAGTAAACCCTAATATAATAATTTATATTTAAATAGGTAACATCAATTTTAATTGTTGTTTCTGCCTTATACAGCGACTACATTGTATGAGGAGAGGAAATTGTACACATATGTTTCTCTGACAAAGTGGGTTACATTTGTGGTGAAGCTATCCCAAAATATACTGAAAGATTCCCTAGAAAGAGAGGGATAGTATGCTCTGACAGTGGCTGGAAGTGACTGTATGCAGAGCTTGGAACATACATGTTTGTGATATGCAGAAAGAATGAAACAAGCTTTCCAATGAAAGCTCCTGACTTTCAGCAGAATGTTCAGTTTCCTTTGACAATCACGGAAAATGACAAACATGGAAACCAACATTTAGAATACTTCACTTTTGATGTTCCTCAGTTCATTAAGAAGTTGGTACTGTGGCAAATTTCAACATTATTTGTTTAAGACTAATTTATCTATTTCATTCTGGGAACGATAATTATTCAGCTAGGACTCAATCCTACAGTATGGTTAAAACTAGGAAAAAGCAGGCACTGTGCCAGTTATATCCTAGCAAACCTGACACTTATAGACAGAAGGTGGAATAAGTGAAATGACTGGACTAACTGAAGGTGTTCTTTGTATGCACCATGAGCTAACTAAGGAGTCAGTCCAGGAATATCACAGCCTCATGAAAGATGGCATCCCTGGATTTGGTCTCCATGGCCTCTAGACCCCATGAAAGACGTTCTTGTTTCCTGTTAAGGTCAACTGTTCTGTATACCCAGTTAAAAGACTGCAGAACAGGACAGAAGTATAATGAAAATAAACACAAACAAAAAATGGCACTATCATTTTAAACACTTTGTTAGCTACATCTGCTCTTCTCCCTGCCAATCTAGTTTTAGTTTCCTGACTTCTCAGTGCTGCAAGAGCTTTCTCTGAGCTGCTAAGTTTCACCGTGTTATGAAAAGAAACATACAGCACAGCTGTGTTATGCAGAAGCCTCCGCACAGACAAATTCTCAGCCCTAACACTGTTTTAGACAGTACGATCTTTGGAGAGAGCACTGTCTTCTGTTACACAGAAAATTACATATACAGCCCCTGCTTTTGATCAAAGGGTTGCAGATCTTAGTTTAAACACAACCTACCTACCTCAGTAGTCAGCAACTGGCAAAACGTGCATCACGTCCATGAGCAGGAGCATGCTGAATCACAGCCTTCTTTTAAACATTTCAAGTCTTGGTAGCTGCACTTCTCCCTGAAAATGCGAAGCTTATCGATTAAAATATAGGTTGAATTTTTGAGTAAATACACCCTACTTCACCTTCAAGGTATTTAATGCTCTCTAAAGAGATTAAAAGCATACTGTTCTTCACTTTAGTAACAGTGAATCAACTCTGGGTTTGATTGTCTTCTCTCAGAGAAGACTTCCTGTGACATACGGCAATCTCACTGAGCACAGTGTAGGAGGCTCTGATGGCAATCGTTACTGCAATTAGCAAATCACACTACCATATTCATGTTTTACTTTATCGTTCTGATTCTAAACATTGGACCTCTTCTTGAATCCTCTATGTACAGAACCCCCATTAATTAAAATCAAACAGCAAGAAATATATAAAAAATCAATGGCATAATATGACTCATGTTATTTAATTAATGGGTAATTCCTCATACCAATATGCTGAAAAAGCTTGAACTTGACCTTTAGGATTAAAAAATTCACCATGTGAGAAAATTTGCTTTTTCCTAATCACATTTCTCCCCAACAGATTTTAAATACGCACTTAAAATCTGTCAACAATGTGTTCAAGTACATGCATTCCCTAACACTGCAAGTAAGCTGTTGTTGCTATCCATACCAGTGCTGATAATGGCATGAACAAAAAATACCTGGTGGCACACACATCAGTGTTAGAATATACAAAACTGTATTTTCCCTGCCATTGCTTCAGGTGATGACAAGCAGCCCACCAGCTACAACTTTCTCCTCTCTGTCTTTTTTCAGTCATTCATTTGAAAATTACTACGCAGGTATCATTTGTTGAGCAATGTTAAGTGTAGGAGCACACTGAGACAAAGTCTGTATTTCATGATAACTCAGCAATTTGGATTTTGGCCTTAAGGGTACATTCATTCAAACAAGAGAATAGCGGTAAAAAGCCCATGAGCAAAATCCTGCAAGCTTACAAAAGGAGATGTTCATTCAGGGGTGAACGCTTTATTTCAAGTTTAATAAATTTCATTTTCAAAGAATTGCCAACTCACACAAATTTGTTACTAATCTTGAAACTGGAGATCCTATTTTTCCTGCTCACACTGCTAGGAGAAGACAAATGGTTCCTCACCATCAGTTGAAGTGGCTTGCTCTCAGTTTTTCCTCAGCTTCATCAGTCGCTTCCTGCCTGTTCTTGCTGGAAGCTGTAGAACATGCTGTATGTATACTGTCCTGACATAATAAAGCACAACATGCTTCTATAGTTCATACTGTTTATCCACAGACATCTGAAGCATCAGAAATGCTGGAAGCACCATTAGGGAGCCCCATGACAATTTAGGAACCCTTACACACTATCTGAAAGGCTGCCAGGGGAACAAGGTCATTCAGTGCTTGGAAGACAGCAAAGTCTGGTTCACACATCACTTTCTGATGCGACATCCCTATACCCCAAGAAAAACCAAGATCATTTCAGCCATACATGGTCAGGCAGTTTGCCAGGGACACATCCTGTCGCTAAGAAGGGTATCTGACCTTGCTCAAGTACCACCACTGGAACACAAAGAGACAAAGACCTGCAGGAGCACACATTTCTGGAAGTTGAGAACACAGCAAGTTCTCTGTGAGGTTGCTAGGAAGTCCCTGCTCCATTTTGTGGCTGACCTTTCCTGCTTGAGCACACGTGATGCATTCTGCTAAACAAAAATCTAAATACAATGGTCATGCATCTTTATCTACTGACCTGCTTGTTCACATCAGTATTCCCAGCGTTACAGAGACAAGGCAGATGTCTGTGTGAACCACAGATATCCCTGGCTAGGCAGAGTTCCTGCTGAATGCTAATCCTGGAAAAGATTCTGCAAACAAGGGCCCAAAGTTTGCATTTTCCCTTGAATCTGCCTGTTGTAGGAAAAGATACAGTCCGTGTTCCTTTGCAGATATCACCACTGCATTCTTTTGAAGGACCATTTGAATGAAGAACACAGAGGTAGTAGTCCTCATCCACATGAGCGGCAGAGAGGAACAAGGGACCCATTCTGTTTACCTTTATTCTACATATAGAACTTGATTCTATAGGAAGATTTCCTGGTTCTCAGGTACTTTGAAACAGAACTTGGCTACAATAGTTTGTATTTACATTTCTCTTCTAGAAGTTTTTTGCATTAAATGGTGGTCTTAAGAGGGTCAATTAAATCTGAACAGACTCTGAAGCATTTCACATAACTTCTCAGTAAGAGAGGTTGTCTCTATTGACAAGTCTGTGTCCAGTCTGCTCTGAACTCTGAAAAAAAAGGGGACTGACTGTTTGAAGGTAGCATCAACTTCGACTCAAGTAAGCTGGCTTCTATTTATATACATCTGCTAAGTTGTATGCAAATATTTCTTCCTGTTTGTTGCAATATTTTTTTCTATTCTCATAATGGGGCTGGCAGTCCTTGGGATGTCATTAACTGCAGGACTACATGATCATCAGAACACTCTCACCTTAAGGCCAATTGTTTATATTTGACAATATATTTAGTTCAAATATTTACGTGTTTTACAAGTCTCTCAAAGCCCGTAGCTCCATTTTCCCTTTTTCCTCAAAATCTGATGAGCAAGGCAACCCAGGCATTCCCTGTTCCCAGCAAGAAGGACATGAGTGGACCCTGGTACAAGTTAATATCTTTCCACAGAAGGGATAACACTTTTCAGACATGGTCCTCTTACCCATTGGAATTGATGAGGCGGGAGCCAATGAGATGAACTGCAGAATTAGAGAAGTCATAAGATGAAGAAATAAAATAGAAACCCTGAGTGAATCTTCCTCTGCTCAAGTCTTGACATCTGACAGAAATAGTTTACTTTATTCAGTGCTTCATGGTCACCCTTCTTGGACCAAAAGTTGCAGTTGTAGCACAACAAAATGAGGATATTTGGGTCAGAATGGCCAAGGTAGAGTATAAATTTATGTGGTATGACTGCTTCTTGCAGTGGGAGCACATTTATCAGTACTGGAATAGTCTGACCTGAATGACCAGGGCAGTGCCTTTGCGGTAATGGCCATGGGAAATTGTTCAAAGGGAAAAAGAATGGCAGCAAAGGAGGGAAGAAAGTTGTTTTAAAAACAAAGGTCAGAGGTCTAAAAAGATTGAAAGATAGAAAATCAGTATTTTATAATCGTTAAAACGGCAATGGTTAAAACAAAAGAGGTGTTATATGATTATAGAGTTGGAGGATCACGAACACCAATTACGGGTGAGAACCTAAGACAAAGGAATTCTGCTGAAAACAAAAATGGGATTATAGCATGTGGAAAACAGAGGCCACTCAGAAAAGAAAGATAAACACGGGAGGAAATTTGGCAGAGTGTTGTAAGAGAAAGAGATAAAATGAAAAGCAAGAAATTACTAACTCTGAAGATGACAAGCAGATGATATTACATCCTGACTTAAAGCCTATATTAAAAAGAGTTAGCAGACATCCTTTCCAGGTCCACAGAAGGAAATTTTCTATCTGTTTTCAGCTTGACTTCCCAAGGCATTGTGCCTTGAACTATCCAAATCCTTTCCTTTCTCCCTAATCACTTTTGGATTCATTGCCCTATCTGACACAGCATAATTAGAGGTAATTATATCCCTGCAAGTTTCATGAAAATTAGCAGTATGAGGAAAGACTAATATAGAATCTCTACTGTACGTAAAGGCAGATATAATGCTACCTTGCAGTTAGCAGAAGACATCCAGGCATGCAGCACATGTACTGCTCCTGTCTGGTCACAACACCGCTATCTCCTTCTCAGTCATGGTGTGGTTATCAGAGAACATAAAGGATGCTTTCCTGGGAAGCCAGACTTCATTTTACCATGAAAACATCTTGACGTTCTGTTTAAATCTGAAGTCTTTAAAGTACATTATGATTTGAGAGTGCTACTTCAGATGCAAATAATAATGAGGTAGAGCTCTTTTGTTTGCCCGCTAGAATTCTAATCATTCTGACAATATGGTTTCTAGCTTACTTTTGTAAACTAGAGATTATTCAAGAGAATTTACTCTTGATATAAATAAATGAGAATATAATCTCAATGTTTTACATGTATCAAAGCTTGACAGGGCAAAAATTTACTAGTTGCCATAAAAGCTCAATGTAACCATTTTAGAATTCAAGATAACTTTTTTTTTTTTCTTAAAAATTAGCTATTTGATCAATTACTTAGCAGAACCTGGAAAAAAAGCCACCAAATTCTTCAACATTCTCAACTTTTGTCCTATGCAATAAACACTCTCATCAGTGTCTAAAAATGATTCATAAAATCTCAGCAATTATAGAGAGGCATTTTTACATAAGAAAAAGAGCATAATTATTTGTACAAAAACATGAAAATATTGGAGATGCATTTTTGCTGCTCAAAATACAGCAATTATCATTTCTAGTGACAATGTGTGTAGAGTGCAAAATATAAAAAGAAAAAAAGAATTAAGATATCTGAAAGATCTCTACTGTAAAGAATCATGTTTACATTGGAATATATTTATGACACAGTTTAACAAATACCTTTATTTTCTTACTAAAACAACATTTTATCCACATGCAGATAAATGTAGGTCAAGTAGGATCTGAAATGAAGTTAAGAAATTCTCAAGCACTGCCTCTCAATATTTAGTAACACAGTCAATAAAAAAAGAAAGACAACTCTGCAGGAGAGCAACAAACCCAGACTTAACTATGACATGCTGTCTATCTCATGCATAGACATACTGTGTTCAGACTTACTATAAGTAAAATGAACAGTATGGAATATGTGTTGCAGATGGATCACTTGCTGAGCAAAGCTTTCTGGCATACACATACAGAGGTAGGAGCCATTCACTATGGTTCAGATGTGAAAGAGAAAAATAAGATAAAAAAAAGTATTTTGTGCATCCATAATGCAAATTGTGATACCATCTAGCTTTTCTGGACAGCTCAGTTTTTAACAATGTTAATTAGTAAGGCTTTATAAATGTGGATGACAGTTATCCAAATTCACTGACAATTTCAAATGAGGGGCTCATCATTAA